CAGGGCACTCTAAACTTTAGTTGAGCATGGTACAATAGGGGCAGTTCATGCACAGGAATCCTGTCTGGGGGAGCTGCTGAAAAGAGCTTTTGTTTTCTTAGGAAATGCCTTTTGGAAAAGACAGTTGCCACTTTGTTACTGTGTGTATTTAATCATGATCCGGTGTCCAAGCCTTAAGTTTTAGAAGACATCAAGAAGAGTAAGCAGGACACTTTCCAACCTTAAAGGGTTTCCCCTTAGAGTCTGGTTGTGATGCTAACACTGTGTTACAGAGTGTGCAGAGAAATTTCCTGTTTCACATCTGTTCTCCTTACTTAAGATGGACTTTTGCAAAGTGCTCAGAGTTCCGCCTTATTCAGAAGATCGTATTCCTGTTCTATTTTTAATAGTCTTTCTTTTATACAGCTTAATCGCCACAGTAGTCATTGTGGTGATTAATTCAAGCTTTCTCTTGAAGCAGATTTAATGGAGTCGATTCAAAGCACCTTCACCAGAACCTGATGAGCTCTTATCTGTAGGTTTGCATAGTGAAGGGCTTAAAAAAAGATATAGTGCAGACAAATCTGCCTTTTCTATATCTTGGATTCTTTTCAAATGAAAGATGTGATTCTTAACAATGTCAAGACATCTTTGCAACACTGCTGTCCTAAATCAAGTCTCGGCTACTGCTCCCCAGCTTTTAGAACATAACAGACCTCTGGGGTTTATTGAACACTTTTACCCAAACTAGTTCACAAGTTACCCAAAAAAACATCTTCCAAAGATCCAAATATGGAACTAAAAGCATCAGCCTTCCATTTGTGTTTTTAAATCATTGCAGTTTGATTTACCCCTTAAACTTACAATGTTTATTTTAAATTTTGCATTGAAAATGTCTTTTATTAACCGGATTCCTTCTATAAGCCAACTAGAGGCCACTGATTTGCAACATGTGAGAAAGGAAGGTCACATAAAGTTGAGTCTTTGAGACTTTGAATAGGAAAGTAATAAGAGCTGCAGTTTCTTGTGTATAAGGCAAGGCCCTATGCTGGATAAGGGTCTGTTGTAACTCCTATGCCGAGATAGACAATTTAAGTTAATATTAAAAACCTGTTGCTTTTTTGCATCATACATGAGCCTGCTGTGCAGTGGGAGTCTTATTTTTATTCTGATGGAACACATCCCAGACAGGAAGGAAAATCTGTTCCCTGTTTTCACACAAAGGGTTGTGGGTGTCTGGAACAAGCTGCAAAGCCATGTTGTAAAAGCCAGAACCCCGACTGCTTTCAGGAAACCATGACAAGATCCAGGGATCAAAGATCTACTAGCAACCAAACAAGCCTGATGTGCCGAACGTCCTGCTCTGGTTGGTAATCCTTCTCCTGTTGTGATCCAGGAGGGCTGCCTCATCCGAAGGGAATGCTGGTGGAAGAACTTCCCGACTGGCTGAAAACGTACGCCAATAAAATCTCCGCCCTTGGGGCATTTTCCGGAAAGACGGCCAACCACGTTCTGGTGAACGAATACAAACCAGGAGAAGGGATAATGGTAATGTGCAGAGCTCATTTGCCAAACCAGCACGTTGGTGTGCTAGAAAAATGGGTTCATGTGGGGTGACGGGGTGCTAATGTGCACCTATCTGTTTTTTTCCTTCCAGCCTCATGAAGATGGACCCCTCTACTTCCCCACAGTGACAACCATCAGCCTGGGATCCCACACTCTCCTGGATTTCTACCGGCCCATTAGCACAGCGCAGGAGCAGGTCAGTGCCAACAGGGGGAGCCACAGGCCACATGCACTGCCACAGGCAAGTCATGCATATCCAGTTTACAGTGCACCGAAGAATAAGTTCAAGTTTATTGTCATTATACTCACACAGGTATATGGTCTAACGAAATGCTATTTAGCTAGCTCTCAGATGGTAAGTAGTACAAAAAAACAACAACAATACAATCATATAAGAAAAGAAAGACGGAGACAACAGGCAGTGTGCAAAAACAACAGTAACAGGTAATGTGCAAAACAACATCAGTTGTGCAAAATCCTACATCAACAGAATGAAATAAAGGATAGAAAATTATGGGGAGTGAACTTCTTGACGTGAGGTGGAGGTAGATTTCAGTGTGTGTTTGAGTTTTGATGAAGAGAGAAGGCACTGTGAGGATTCAGATCGTAGGTAAGAGAGGCTGGGAGTAAAAACTGTCTCTGAGTCTGTTGGTCCCGGCCCGAATGCTCCAGTACCGTTTTCCAGATGGTAGAGGGTCAAACAGTCTGTAGCTGGGTTGTGTGGGGTCTTTGATGATGCTTAGAGCTTGCCTCAAGCACCATCTGTGATAAATTCCAGTAGCGTTATTGGAATAATAATGGTGCTGATAAACAAGGTGTGTGTAATTAAACTGGGGAGGCCATGCATGGGAAAATCAGACTGCATCCTTTACAAGATTGTTTTGTGGATTTAAGGCGTTCAAAGACTTTTTTTAGGATTTCTATTTCTAAGACCAAAACGCTTGATATGGGCTTGGCATCCTTAAAGTAAGCAGAATCCAACAGGGATGTTGGCAGCACAGCAGGGAATGGGGGTAACAGGACAGGAACAGCCAGGGGGCTCGGCTGACTCTGCGTTGCTCCCCCCAGGAGGGAGTCCCGCAGACGGAGGAGAACCGCTACCTCCTGTCCCTGCTGGTGGAGCCGCGGAGCCTGCTGGTCCTGCGGGACGACATGTACACGCGCTTCCTGCACGGCGTCCGCGGCGTGGCGCGGGACACCGTCACCGAGAGCGTGGCCAACCTGCGGGCCGTGTCGGCCGAGCTGGGGGACAGCCTGAGCAGGGGGACCCGGGTCTCTCTGACCATCCGGCACGTTCCCAGAGTGCTCAAGA